ACAGCCCATTACAAACAGCAGAGAACTGGGACATGTCCTCAAGACCATGCCCCATGCTGGTGAAGAAGAAAAAGGCAAAGGCCTTCTGATTTGAAGGTATTTTTCTTCTGAATGGCGATCTGATTATCAACAAGATCATTGCTGGTTCTGCCAGGGGAAGACAACCCCTGATGGCTCCACTTGGCATAACTCCAGCCAACTCTAAGTTCGGCAGAAAAAAACCCTTACACGAGTCCTTCAGGTTGCACCAGGATGAAATCCTGATCCATGAGGCTGCTTGTAAGAGTGCCCCTCCTTTGAAATCCCCACTATTTCTGTAGCTTTGATGAGCAGCGACCACTCAGCACCCCACCACATCCCAGCTCCGGCTTTCTCAAGCTGTGCACGGAGCCAGGAGCACCCCAAGATCCCCCGAGCACTTCTGGGTTTTGTGCTCCCAAGCCCAGCTTCCTTCCTTCCTTCTGTTTTCACAGAATCACAGAATCACAGAATTTCTAGGTTGGAAGAGACCTCAAGATCATCGAGTCCAACCTCTAACCTAACACTAACAGTCCCCACTAAACCATATCCCTAAGCTCTACATCTAAACGTCTTTTGAAGACTTCCAGGGATGGTGACTCCACCACCTCCCTGGGCAGCCTGTTCCAGTGTCTAACAACCCTTTCAGTAAAGAAGTTCTTCCTAACATCTAACCTAAAACTCCCCTGGCGTAACTTTAGCCCATTCCCCCTCGTCCTGTCACCAGGCACATGGGAGAACAGGCCAACCCCCACCTCGCTACAGCCTCCTTTAATGTACTTATACAGAGCAATAAGGTAAATTTTGCAGTGTCACCGAGCTGACCGCTTGCATTAAGGCTATTAAATCAAAGGCTCCTCAAACCCTTCTTGAGTCACCGTTTTCCAAGGCAACCTTCCCAATTACATTACACCCTACTTGACTGTACTAAAACAAGGAGAGAAGCTCCGAGGCGATCTGCATTGCTCTCGCGTGCTCCTCCGATTTAATTACATCCCAGAACTTTTTCTATTCTGTAAAACTCAGTAGTAAAAATTTATTATTCCGAATCTAAGGAAGGGATATTGCTTCAATACTTTTTTTCCTCCAAATCTGTCCTCTATTTGTCACTATTAAACTTGCAGATTTATAGTTTCTCATGTTTCTGATGATCTGATATTGGAGATCTTTTATTGTCTCCATTCCTATTAGCCACAGTTACTGTGTTAGCTCCGTATTAGCTTCCTTGACTTCCCTCATCAGGCAATATTGTGACTCCTAAATACTTTTTCACTTGTTTACCTCTATCCCCTCCTTCACACATTTTGCATTGCCAGCAGGATTTGCAATGCTGAATGCTCACCACTTACACCCAGCAGACTTCTGAACTAGCTTCACATCCGAACAGCAGGAAAGAAAACGAAGCAGCCTCTGCAATGAGCTGGGTGGCACAGAGACGCGGCCCCATTTTAGCAAAAAGCACCCACAAACACAAAGCCTACATCTGGGAGGCAAAAGGGTTTAATGAATAAATCTTAAGGCTGCCAAATTAGCAAATTGGATGTGCCTTCGGTTTGTGTCAGAAGTCTGAGGACTCGATTCGTAACGAGAAATTCAATGTCAGAGTTTGACAGAAATACTAGCACTACTCATCAGAAAAAAGGAGTCTGGAACCCAGTCTCCTGGCAGAAAAATGGCCTTTTTCCAAAATGAATAGCTGTAAATAACCCACACAGATTTGATGCTAGCTCCTCCTATAGGACTGCTGCTATAAAAGAGTGTTTGCAACCCAAATACTACAGGAGTATAGTAAAAGGCAGGTGTTGTTCATAAAAATTAATTAAGCATAATAGGTTTTTGAGGGCTCGAAATGGGAAGAGTAAAAAAGCTCTCTACTGCATAAACAAAAATTTTAATTTTTACATTTATTCATTTTTAATTCCATCACACTCGCACTGAAAACCGCCTGGAAACTAACGATATTGTCTGGAAAGAGGAAAACAAGAGCCAGAATGAAACCCGGTGCATGCGGTTAACGTGTAACTGAGAGCTCAGGCCACACGCAGCCCTCTCCTTGCGGTGATTCGCAGCCTTTTCTCTCCGGATCTATTCTCTGATCAGTAGCTATTCTCAACACTGGCACACAAACAAAACAGATTTAGCAATTAAAATACATAGAAACAAAGCAAAAATAAAAAGCCACGAACTCCAATATGAACACGAGTTTCCTGAGGGCGACTTATTCACTAAACTCTGTACACAGGGCTCCTTCTGCATGTTTGACACAACAAAACTCAGCCACCAGAATTGCCAACCCCGTGCAGAACAATTCCTAACACAGCTCTCGGCGTTTTGCTCACATCCTACATCACTGAGCGCAGACTAGCAACAAACTTTTATTTTTAAAGGTTAGTAGTGAAGCAAAATTCTCAACATTTCACACGTGGGTCAAGGCAAGGATGCTTCCATGCTGCTGCAGACACAGCAAAATATCCGATCTGGGTTTTTCCAGGCAGTGGGTTAGGCTCAGACGTGATGCCCCAGCCACATGCCTCCGTGATGACTCAGGAGGAGGCTGGAGGAAGGTTTATGCACCGTGCTAGGGCCTTGCCTCTGGGAATCACACAGGCACCGGCTTCTGAAATTTCATCTTGAAAGGAAAATGGGTCTGTAGGCTTCTACCATCGTGGGTATTCAGAAATACCTGGATAAATGCAGGCTGTGGGTATTTCACAAGCATCAAAACTGACGACACAAACCCCATCAGCAGACTACATGGAATTACCGTTTTTCATTTGTATAAGAAAACAAAAAGTGTGAGTTTGAGCCCCTACAATGACACCGCTGTAATTCCAACAGTTATCTCTAGGGCACCAGAAACGCTGTCCTCGTCTGGTTTAACTGCAGTGGCTTGAAAGAAGGTTTCAGGTGAATCAGAAGCCGGCAGAGAGCAGAGCAGGATCTCCCAGATGGGGTTATATATCCGAATTAGCTGCTTGTGTTGAAGCCTTACTTCACGGGGCCTGCAAATAGCCTCTAAGAGCAGCGTGCAGCTCGGGGCGCTTGCACATTGCACGGATTCGTTGTGCTGCTGCTGTCCCGCAGGAGTCTGAGAGCCGATGCCACGACTGCCTCTTCCTCATACAAGGATTCGTCTTCTCAGGAAGGCATTCGGCTTGCCTGAAGACAAGGGCACCATCCTGAAGCACGGCTCTAACTGCACGAGGAGCGATGACGACGGCCGTGCCACCTCACGAGCAGTGCTCCTAGCACACCGAGGGGGGCACGGCTGCAGCACGGGGCTGGGGTCACAGCGATGGAGCAGGGACACGAAGGTCCCACACCAGGATGAATTGAGCCCACTTTAAAAGCCTTTACAAAACATTTTATTGAAAACTTTTAGACAGCACAAAGCTTCTGTTGATCAGTTGCAGCCTGAATTTCCTGCGGGGAGCTCCAGCCTTGCCAACCCTTTCCCCACGTGAGGCAAATGGCTCAGCTTCTTGGTGGCAGCTGCTGGCACACGGGGCTCTTATCTCACGTAACATTCAGTCTCTTCTGTCCTCTGCAGGGCAAAGCAGTCCCACGCTGCAATAACTTCACAGCTTTCTTCAGCTGCATGGACAGACCAGGGGAACCCACGCCACTGATTCCCGCTGGCCCCAAAAGAGGGGGAAACCCAAAGAGTTCTCGCAGAGATTTTGTGGTATGCTTAGAGGGACAAGGAAGCAGGCTCCTAGGCAAAAGGAGACCTTTGTTCTGCTCACAGGAGAGTACAAGGTCTCAGAATAGAAAGAATATACAAGGCAAACTTCTTTGTCAGCATGACAAGGCAAAACAGCCGTGCCAGGATTAATAGCTGCTTGCTGGTGACACAAACCACTGAGACAGCTACGGAAGAAATGCCTCATTTCCCCAGGAACGGAGAGAAACCCTTAGAAGTCATTAGCAAGTATCATCAGCAGGACTTTTAAAAAGTATTTTTTAGCTATTTAATTCAGTTCTGTGTTTCAAAGAATAAGCAGCTCTCTTTGAGGACGATCGGAAGCATTTATCAGGTGCTTTCTTGGCTGAAGGACACGGACAGCTTGTGCACTTATGGCCACTTTCATTCCACCCGATGTGGTGTAGCTATGGCTGTAGCAAACACAAACTTTGACAGATGACCAAGCTGAAAAACTGAGATACCAGAGGTTTTCTTTCCCCCTTAAGAAATTAACACAGTATTACCTTTCGAAAACTCATACTTCGTTCAGCCAACAGTTGTAAAATGAAATAAACATTTTGGATCTGTCTCCCTTTTACCATGAAGCAGCCCAAAGCCAGCAGCAGTGCCATACCTGCTTCCCCTCAACGCCTTCACTGACGAACAAATCAGGAAACCTCGCTACTCTTCCAACTGAACACACAGTTTATTCAACCATTTAATAACCAGCACAGCAAAATTATCACGGTAAAGGCAAACACAGACTTTGCACTCCCACTCCCTGCCCCTCAAAAAGGTTATTTTGAAAACTTTTATATTCCTAGTATCTGCTTCAATCTTGGACAACAGCTAACTAGTTAACACAAGTAATAAAGAACACTATAACACGTGGAAATAAACTACCAGGTTAGCCACAGCCTTCTAGGGTTGAAGTAGCACGGCATGATGCAGAAACACAATTTATTTGGGCAAGAGACAACAACTGAGGTCTAGGTGTGTACAAAAGTGCACGGATTTTATTCATGAACAGGGTGTAGAAGTTAAGAAAAGCGAGAGTTGTAACAGGAACGAGGCCAGGATGGTTTTGTTCAGAAAAAGGGCAATAAATTTTGGGCTACCGCTGTTTTTTCCTTGTTTTATTTCTGAGTGTGTGGATACTAGCAGGAAATAGGCATACTTTTCATACCGGTAAACTCAAATTTAGAAAGTAGGTAAGTAAAAGGAACCCATTTAAAAACAGTCACCATATATTTCCAAACAGTCAAACATAGGGGTATCCTTTTAAAAGGAGACATACCTGCTTCAGGACTTGTTTGATTACAGCTGCTAGCAATGCTGTTTGGTATCACTGGAGTGGAGGATGCCTGGATTCTTGACTGAGGTGGGTTCGGATGTAATGAATTTCCTAAAGCCATTCCTGACTGATTGAGCATCCCACAGTTCCCGCTAGCCTGCATCTGATTTATTAAACCTGCGAGATGGTTGGTTGTGCCTGGGCTAGTACCATGGACAAAGTTAGTGTTTGTGTTCTGGCAGTGCAGCCCTTCCCCTTGTAACGGTAAGCTCTGCGCCAGCGAGTTCTGAAGAGTGCCAGAATTCATACTGGTGTCTGCAAAATGCATCTGGTTACCAGAGCAAGGCAAGACAGTATTTGAGCTCCCACAACTGGTGGTACTATTGCTGCTCATGTGGGAGCTTTGACAACTCATGGACTGAAGTAACTGGGACATAGAGCTGATGGGAAACGAGCTTTGACTTTGCTTTCTTATCAAATCAGATCCAGCTTTGGAAACTCCAGAGCTCTCCAACTGAGACTGTCTCAGCAAACTCAACACCGTGGTGGTTGGCTGCTTTCTTTTTCTCAGAGGATCTTTCTGCTGAGACATCAACTTATCTCTCAGCGCTGCTCGACCACTTTGCCCTTCAGTCGTTGGTAGAAGCACATTGGCAGCAGGAGGGAACATGGTATTTAAAGTGCTATGTCCTTCGTTGTTGCCACCGCTGGCAACAGGTCCAGAATTGCTACTGCTGTTATTGTTGTTACCAGCAAGTTTATTTTGATTTGCTAGCTGTGCTTTGGCTGCTGCTGAGAGTAAACTACTTGCTGGAAAAGAGGCAGCATTGTGCTGGTTCAAGATCTGATTTAAAGGCATTCCCAGCAAACCAGGCTGACTCTTCAACGAACCACTTCCAGCCGATGCAGTAGAAAAAACTGCATTGTTTGGAGGATTTAACACATTACTCATTCCAGCAATTAATGGGTTAGGGATGTCCTTGTATTGATTAAGTCCATCGTGCTTGGTGGAAGGGCTAGATGGCATAGATGGTCTTGGTGACCCTATTGTTGACCTTGGGGACCGGGGAGGAACTTTCATACCAGTACAAGACGACTGCGGTCCTACTGGAGGCAGCAGGAAATTTCCATGATCTGATGACGTGGAAGAAGAACGTGATCTTTGGGGAGAAGCCTCGATCCTTCCGATCCCGGAGCCCATCATATGAACGGGGGACGTCACCGGCGAAGGAGACAGCGAGGTCGAAGCCGAGTGCTGAACTCTTTGAACATGACTTCCATGGTTCATGTGACCGGGTTTTACCGTTGGCAAAGGAAGGTTACTTGGCAAAGGGACGACAGCAGGAGGCATGCTTACATTCATCACGGGTACCTGAGAGTGGACATTTGAATGGAAAGTAGTTGGGTTAATGATAACAGGGTTCTGATTGACTGGTTTGCTAGGAATAGGGTCAAGAATGCCAAGTGGATCCTTTTCTGATGTTAATGGCTTTTTCTGAAGAGCACAAGAAGGCGGTGGAGGAGGTGGGGGTGGACCTTGGGGCGGTTTATGGTGGAACATTGCTCGTGGTATTTCCATACCAGTTGAAAAATTACACATGGTTTTTTTCATTACGGGGCTTTTTGTGGTCAAGGTTGGGGAAAGAGGTATATTAGTCCTTCCAGCCATTGCACAGGATGACTGTATGGGAGAACCATGTAGCATTACTGATGGTGGAGACAGAGGTGTCCTGTTCATGTGAATAGGACTTGAGTTGGGTGCTCCATGAAAGCTGGGATTGTTCCTCGTGAAAACATCAGGGCTTCCAAGTGGGTCAGTCCTAGGAGAGATGGAGCCATCTCCATATATCTGCGATCCTGATGAAGCTGGACTGGGCATCCCACCATGACTGCCACGATATGGAGACTTCTGTCCAAGTTCATTACTACCCAATCTCTGCCTAGGATAGACAGAATGAAGTTCTTGTTGCTGGCTTCCAGCCATTTCTTGCACATAAAGCCTACCCATGGCATTAGATGCCCCAATCATCAACTTGAAAGGAGTCTTACATTCTGGCATCACAGAATTTGTAATTCCTTCATGTGATTTATTCCTCATCGATCTCGGAGTTGCTGCTCGAGTAGGAACTACCGGAGTTGCACCTGGTATTAGAAACACAACAATTACTATTTTGAAGGCTGGTATAACTCATTTCAGTGCACAACTACTTGGTGTGAACACATTCACAAAAGCCTTTTGGCTAAACTTTTCCTTAAACAGAAATAACAGCTAAATCACCAACCAGTTGCTGGAGTGGTGCACACTACCCTTCTGCATATTGCAATTGCACAGACCACAACTCCATTTTCCATAAAAAAGCCTACAGAAATAGGGACCTCTTCAGATCTTGTGCTTCGTAGCACCCTTGCTACCCACATAAATGTATTTCAGCACTATCCGTCCACAACATCAATTCCTGAAGTTATTTTATTTTTATTATTTCCTCCCCTTTTCAATCTCCCCTCCAAGCATCCATCATCTCCAGTGTCCTACACCTGACTCTCCAGCATCATCTCTTCAGCTACAGCCCCAGCTAGAAGAGCTGGCAGAACTATCGCAGGGAAAAGGAGCCTCTGGCACCATCTATTGAGTACAGGAGGAACAAGGTCCAAGAAGGGTTCAGACTAATTTCCCCTTGTCCTACAGACAAAAAGTCCTGCCCCAAACGTTGCACCTGATGAGGATGAATGGGGAACTGTGCCATACAACTCTGGCCCGGATTTCTATTCAGCAGAGCACTTAATTGCACAGATCTAAGAGGACATGGCTGAGCTAGGCAGGGTGCAGCATCCCCGCTGCTCTGCATCACTCACTGGCCCTGCAGGCACCGAGTGTCAGTCTTCTGAGTTAATCTCTTCTTTGGAACTGCTTTGCTAAAAAGGTGAGCACGTTATATAATGTCCTGCAATATTTCACTGAATGAAGGCTTTTCTTGCAGCTTCTGAAAAAAAATTAGTTTGGTATCAAGATACTAAATTCAAGAATGGGCTTCACCTTTTATGCTTGTTTTCAGGATAAAGGCTTTGAGGATATTTATATGTGCACGTGTGAAACCTTATGCTATGGAAAATATTACTGTGTTGGGACTAGACCTTCCAACACGCACCAGATCACTTTCCTTTTCTACCCACTAATATCAGTTCTGTTTAAGAAATAAATATTTTTTCAATATTTTATTTTCGGAATACCCTCACAGGCAGCTCCAAGTCTGATGGACTTTCTGCCAGCTTTACTGCTCTGGGAATTTGTAATTCAGTTTGCAGTGTGAGCTCAGCAAAGGAAAATGAATACATTCTTGGCATGCAGCCTCTGAATATGCAAACTTAAACTTGAGTAGTGAGCTACATTTCATGTTCAAATGAATTCAGAGGTACCTTTAAATTCCCCTGCTTACAAGAACTCAGTTCCCTTCTTTCCTTCTCTCTGGCCATAGGAGACAAACAGCACCGAGAGTCCTGCCTTCATTCTATTTACTCACCCAGCTACATCATGACAGAAACAAACACATTCCTTTTCTCAAAATATAACTGAAGTCTCATTCTGGGGAGAAATCTCAAGACTGAACTACGAAACATAATATGCACAGGAATCCTCATATTTGTGCTTGACCTAAGCATACAGACAAACTTACGAGTGCACAACTGAAACGACATTTTGTTTACCAAGGCAATGTATTGGGAAATTTTGTTCTTCACTTGATGGACAAAATTCTGATCAATAGAGAAGATGTAATGAGTATGTTCATATCTTAAATATTTATCTGTTTCCCCTCCTTAATTTTGCCCTTTATTTTTTTAAAAAAGAAACGTAATTTAAGTAGAGCTAATAAAGAATAATAAAAAAATAACCAGGAAAATGCGTAGTAATTTGGGAAATCGTACTATTCAGTCTTAAAACAAATGTATATTGAAAAAAAAAACAATTTAAAGCTTTAAGATCATATAAGGCAATCTCAAAGTGCAATAGTACCTCAGTACTATGAACATCACTGGTATCTTAGTCCTGTCTACATAACTAAAATGATTTATTTTTATATCCTTAAAGTTTTCCACTTTTATTCAGGCCACAGAGGGCTTAGCAATTAGCCCACTATTATTATAGTGATACAGGGATACAAAGATCTCTCAAAACATCAAGGATCATTTCCCAGATGTTGTAGGCATCACAGTATATAACCATAAACGTAAAAAGCTCTATCTTCAAAGTAACTTCACTCCTCTGACCTAACTACTTAGATTTCTAAGACTGGTTCTGAACCTTTTCTTGTGATCCTCAGAAAGGACCTAATTTTCAGTTTACGTTTCTCTGCAGCTCTGGTTTTGTAGCTGTTTCTTTCAGTGCTAACTTTGTCCTTTAGTTTAAGTTGCTTCCTGGTGGCCATTCTCTTGATGTCTTTACTGACAGCAACTGCATCTCCTTTCAGGCACCATTTTGGTGGGGCTAAACAAACTAAGCACTTTTAGATGACTTTCATAAAACAGGTTTTGCACTTGCTTAATAGAAGAGCCTCTGCTCTATTTCAGTTTGAGTGCCTCTAGCGAGAACAGCAGCACAGGAAGGCAGCAAGCATTCAAAGACATTTGTACTTCTCCGTCTCAGAATCACATTGATCTGCACCACACTGCCATCTGGTACTGCTCACAGGCATCTTTGATCAGTTAGTATATCTAGGTCTTCTTTCTCAATAATTTACAGCTAATAGCTTTTTTCACTAGTCCCCAGGTGAATAACCTTACAATTAACAGGATTTGTTGCTATACCTTTTCTTTCACTCCAGGTGTCAATGATCCCCCAGTTTTTCAACATGTCTGGATCTTCTCTTGTTTTGATAGCACCTATCGGTTTCATCCATCAACAAATTACTTCATTTTTTGTTGATACGGATAATTAAAATGCTAAGCCAGGTTGGTCCTAACAAATAATCCTTGAGAAATTACAGTGGAGATCTTCTCTAGCTGTATATTCTGCCTTGCAATACAATTTCCCATTTAGCTAAGTCCTTAGCCACATTCTAATCCCTTTATAATCACTTTATTCAGCTTCTCTAATTTCCCATGTGACAGAATATCAGACATATTACTACAGTTCCAAAAGATGAGGGCTAATGTATTTTCTTTGTCTAGAACAATCTGATATCTTTTCCAAGAAAATCATGCTCTTCGTCTGGGATGACCTGCTTTTTAGACTCACTTTCTACCTACCTACATCCTTCTAATTACTACCTCCATTTTCAACTTGAATGTTTACTACTGCAATTACAGAAGAACTTCGGGGGTGTTCTTGTATAGTAATTATAAATACTAAATTAGTTAAATAACTAATCCTGCAGGATTTTACTCACTTGTTCCACCACCAGGACTGGTTAGAACTAGTGAAGGATGTGGTGCTTCCATGCTTTTATGAAGTGTAGCCACAGCAATAATTTTCCTTTTATGTATGCATAGTTTGGTGACATCTTCGTCCGCTTTAACATCTTCAGCAGTTCTCTGCTTCACAGCAGCTCCAGGATCAAAATTAAAGACCTAAGAATAAAAATTCCAACATTTAAAGTAGTGATTAAAGCCAGCAGGCTCCCCAAATATATCTAAACCAATTTTTTTTTTACATAAAATTAAATTTGCCTCTGTTCCTTAGAGCAGCTAGATTGGTCCTACAATGTCCAGGAGACACGTTTATAGCATCTTTTGAAATAAACAAAGAGCAAATATATTTATAATAAGCACACAGAGCCACAGAAGTTGTCATTTAGCAACTGAGAATTTTAACACCCCCCAGTATAAAGGGGATGAAGGGAAAAAGGACTATGGGTGGTTGAGATGGCTTTGTGTTTAGAAAGACAAGAAGAGTTAAAATGTGCATGCAGATGATAAAATTGTGTTTTTCAGGGTGTTATACTGATTCAGCACTTCTTGGCAATATTATGAAAACTACATTTAAAAGTACCTGTTACAACTACGTAAATTTATGTTTACTCTAAAATACATAGGATCAACCTAACCCTAGCAGCTAGTTAGGAGTCTTCCACAAACCAACTCCTGCTGAGGCTATCACGTATGAACCTCACACACCAACACAGTGCTGCTGTGCTGATGGCAGGTTGCCATTTTAATAGGAAAATGCTCAACCACCATAAAGACTGAGTCGGATCTTTTCCATGTGGGGAGAAGACAGAAAGGAGATTTATTTAATGGTTTGCATTCTATGGTCAATCTCTGGGTATACACCACTTCTATTTTATATAGAACAGAAATTAAGTCATTAGCTGACAGAGCAGAAATCCATAATCCGAACAGCACAGAAATCCAGAATTATGATTTCTTTACCTTGGGAAGAACAAGAGGACATTCTAGGCCACACTTGCATGTTCCATCAGTCAGCAAGTAAGTCTTCACCTGCTCCAAGCAGGATAATAAAGACCCACTGGGACTGTAAAGAAACAAAAATGAAAAATTCAGGCTATTTGATAGATCAGGACTTCTACCAACCATTCTAACAGCTCACACAGACAGGTTTGACATAAGGCACCTAAGATTTCATATTTGGTTTCAAAGTACTTCCTGCTTTTAGTCGAGAACTGAGATAATATGCATCAAAACCAGTTAAAAAAATAAAAAAAAGATTTTAAAGGAAGATTTTACTACAGAAAAATAAACGTGGCAAGTGCAAAGGAAGTAATTGAGATTACTGATATTTAGTATTCACATTACAGTCCTGCTAGAAAGCTTTAACTACTGCCTAACAACACTGAGATGATTTTTCTCCAGCTTCTCTCCCATAAAGTGCAACCCACAGGCGGGCTGCAGTCCCCACGGACCTCCTCCCTTTCCATCCCATCCCTGCAGTCCCATGGAGGTGTGACAGTCACCTGTAGTCTCTAGGACCAGGGCCTAATTTAACAAGAAAACATCACAAACGTGTTTCAAGAAGTGTGAGAAGACCCACAGAGAAAAGGGGGAACAGTACCACTGCTGTTGTGGTCTGTTAGGTGCATGAACAATTTAGTTTATTCAGCTAAAATTTTGACCCTCTCAGTGAAAGTGAGCGTCCCACCAAGAAGCCAGCGCAGAGAGTCTCTGATAAACTGCCCTCAGATTTCTCTAACTCCCACCAGAATCTGTTACGGCAAAATCACTAATTCATAAGGTGAAAGAAGTTCTCATGTCACGAGCCTCTGACTTCCACGCGGCTCTTTATTACACAGCCACCTCAGCTGTTTGTCAGGGAAAGAACGCAGCGATTTGTGAGGACTGGCTCCAACGCTGCTTCTTAACGGCAGCTGTGAAAAGCCCTTATTTTAACCAAAACAACTCGAGTGGAATGGTTTGGGACGTGGAAACAGCCAAGAGTCAAAATTCCAAGCGCTGACAAACTTTTGTACTTCAAACCTCATGTATAAACACCTCGTTATGCAGCAGAAGGAAAGCAACATCTGCAAATGACGTGTGGAGTTATGGTAGCAGTTTCAGTAAGCAATTCATTTGCCAGCCCTGCCCTGAAATGGTCATTTTAGAATCGCTTAGGTTGGATACGCGTTAACAGGGACATCCTGAAGATAAAAGCAACCTAAAAATAATGCTGGAGGTGTGGAGAAAAGTGACTTATAGATGCTTCCTGCAGGAGAACACAGGCTGGTGTTTGCTCTGTTCTACCCCATCCATGTGCAACATCGCTAAAGGACAGTTCTGTGATGCTTAAAAATTTAAATGGCACCTCCTGGAATACGCTCTGGAGTTAGGATGCCGCTTTATTGGTTAAAAAAAGAGAAGAAAACAAGTCCCACTTCGCAGCAAGAACTAAGATCTTGTGAAATTTTGCTCATCAGTGCTCCCCTGGCCTGGACCAGAGGAGTTTTCCTGCCGTCCTCAGAGGGGGATCACACAGCAGCTCAGCTCAGCGCCGCACACAAAGTGTAAGGAGAGCATCGCCTTCAAGAGGAAACGCCACCGCGCAGCCACCGGTGCAGCAGCTGAGCTAATCCAGGTGCTAAGGCCACTGGTTATTTCCCAGTAATGCTATACCATTACAATTCATTCTTTTTATGTTTCTAGAAGAAAACAGCTTTTAATAATGTTCCTTCGTGCACGGTTCTCTCAGTTTATTCCATCGATGAGTACTCACAAACAGTAACCCGAGGAAGAGATCCAGGTGCTCACAGCAGCACTGTTTTACTAAGAAATCACTCAGCCCCGTGCTTTCACCAGGTAATAAAAAACTAATTAATGGATTTTATTCAGAGCACCTGTTGACAGTTGATGGAACAGCATGTGTGCTTTACAAGGAAGCACAAATAGAACAAGTCCTTATTCAGCTGGAATCATTTATTCCAGTTAAATCACGACAAATCTGAATGCATACGCTGATTTTCCCTTGGATAGCTTTTGGGTCAGTATTGTTTGGCCTCTCGTTCTCCCAGTAAATGCTGTGAATATTTTCAGGGTGGGTGATCCTTCTGAAGGGCTGGGCAGCTCTAGAGCAGCTAATCCAGAGAGGCTGGGGAAGCTCAGCCCTTGAAGATGCAGGTGGCAAAACCAACAGCTGGCCTGTGGCTCATGCAGTACATCCAGCAGGAGGCTGGATTAGAGGACTTCATCCTCTAATGAACTCATCCTCATCCTCTTCCTGACACTGCCTACTCCACGTCTTTCATCAAATAAGAAAACGGATGACATCAAGTGCATCATCTAGGCTTCCCTTAAGCAGAATGGCTTACCGAAGGCCACCAGCAAACTAACCACTGGATTGAGGGGAGAAAACAAAACAGCATGGACAAAACTTACAGAGAGGGCAGAACTAATACCTGCTTCCCCAGGCTGAAAAAGAAAACTGGTAAATTTGATTAACAGAGCCGACTAGAAAAATAAAAAGCAGTGTTTTGCATAAAGCAATTCCGGACAGAAATATTATTAATAAAGTCCTCCTGAACAAAGAGAACATACATAAAAAAAAAAAAGACTGAAGAGTAAATAATTGTCAGATACCAAAATTTAGTAGTTTATGAACGTGTAAGACATGCTCTCGAAGAAGCAGCACAATCTTCGTGGCCTGCTTCTCACAGCTGCACAAAATAAAATTCAAAAACAGGTAGGATCATTAGGTAGGTATATAAAAACACCAAGGAATTTTATGTCCTGATGCCTGCATATAGGGATGACAGAGGGAAAACAAACCAAACCAAAACCAAACACATAGCAAACAACTGCTTTTTTCTCATTGATTTTTAACTAAGGCAGAGGCCCGGTAAATTATAGCTATAATGAGAAATACAAGGGGAAGGCAATTTATCTTTGACATGCGTATCGCTGACATGGACTTTGTTTGATTCTGCTAATTGCGAATATAAACAAGAAATCCTGGAATTCATTTCATCTTTTACGGTGGTTTAGTGTAAAACTGGAGTACGCTGTGACTCATTAAAGAATTTTGTATTGTTAATATATATAAAGTTGTATAGAAGTGGTTATTTTAATCACAGAATAGTGGAATAAGATTAAGCAAATAACAGATAGTCATTTAGATTCACGTGATGTAAACCTGATGTACCTACATTTTGTTCAAGCTAACTTTGGTCTTTTTCCAGTAACATTTAATTTGTAGCATGTTTATCTGAACACACTCATTTAATAGTAATTTCAATACATTTTTTGACTGCTCCAGGATGAAGCAAAAAAAAAATAATAATCCAGGAAGCTAACAGAATAAATAAAATACCTAAAACTTTGGTTTTAGGCTTGCATTCCTGTTTTTTCTACACCAGAAATGGGAGGGATCTACAGAAGTCAGTCAGTTGTTTCTGTGATGAACACAGAACATTCACAGGGTATATAATGAGTGATGTTTTCTACAGCTACTCAGTAGTTACCCCACTTAACTTCCTTTCAAAAGACAGTAAGTAAACCAGAAAAGTATAATGGAGATCTGGAACATAAACCCAAAAGAGACCACAGAGTAGAGTTATTGAATGTCAGGATAAAGTTGCCTGCTGCTGCATGAACTGAGCTGAAGGCTTGCTGCTGACAGGAGAATGTCCCACTCTGTCTTACCTGCCATGAATTATCTGCATGCCTGGTCGCTGCTTTGAACTTGACCAGCAAAGGCTCCTATAAAAAGCCAGTGCTGGTGCAAGGAAAAGGCAATGAGGGAGATTTCTCATCATCTTAGGTGTGACATAAGGAATCCTCTGGCTAGTTTCATTGTAAAAGGTTTGAATAATAAAGGCATTAAGTAAGGTTAAATCTGCTACTGCTCAGCTTTAAAATCCACATGACAATAATAAGTAATAAAGAACTATTCATGCCTAGAGCAAAATGTATAGGAAGGATATCAAATTTTCAAGACCAAGCAATATTAGATTTGGAATGACAGAGTGTGTGCTATGGGCATGCAAATGGCACAGCTCAGGTGGACTCCACTAACATCATCAGAAAGATGATAGTCTAGCTCTTCCAAAAGAAGAAACCCTTGAAGTCTTTGAGTACAGAAGACTAGCCAAGTCACTGATTTACCACATGCTGTGGCAAAACTGCAATGAAAACGACGACAGTCATCTCTTTATATAACCTTACCTGATATAGAGCACTCCACTTTGGTCCACCCGTCGCTGCCAACCAACGGGAACTTGCACTGCTGGTGGCCCTCCGTCCGTGTCCCCTCCGTCACACTCCTTTCCACCATTCATTTTTCTGTTTCTGTTTATGAGTCTTCAAAGATATCAACAGTAAGATGATATCCTTTTACTACATGTCATCATGGCCTCCCAAAGAAGGCCATTCAGTACACCTTTCCCCAAATTGTACAAAGTGCATTGGGAGGCTCCAGCTCAGTTTGAAACCAGGTCCTTAAAAGTGGCCATTTTTGTTAATGAGTCAGTTTCCCATTATAATCCACATTAAATATGCAATGTTTAACTCCTTATATATTCATAAGGATGAACTATATAGATAAAAATTAGTGCTTCCAACTTGGGAAAATCATAATTCACCAATCCTTTGTTACCTGTCAGAAAGGAGAATGGGGAAAAGGAGAATTTCTAGTTCAACAGCATGGCTCCAAGCTTGATGACTAAGATAACTTGTATTTTGTGAAAGCTCGTCTCATTTTTTATAAATATGAGTCAGATCTAATACCTCCAGGTATTATACCCTTTATATGCCACATTCTTTTTGTTTTCTTTTTATCTTCCGTTCATTATCCAAGCTCTCTTCTTGAGTTTCTTTCATGACTCCCTGGCTCCAATAAAGCAGCCTGAAAAATACAGATATAGAAAACACATGAGCCATTTGCACAAGTCTTTCAGCCCAGCTCAGTAACTCACGAAGATGTATACAGCTGCATCCATTTAAAGAGCTTAGAATCAAAATTTTAAATGTCAATGAAACCATCAAAATAAGGCACACAGTAAAGATACAATCCTGCTAGCAGACTCTATTTATATGTGAATGCAACTCAGCTACATCTTAAATGCCAAGACAGCGCAACTGTTATTAAATAGTTAATGCACAGTTTGAATGAATTAAGGGATATATCTCTTAACTGAGTAGTTTCACATATGCTTCTATTCAAAATCATCAACAGATGACTAGCTCGATTAATGCCCTTTGAAAATTGTTTATAAAACCAAATGCATTTAATGTGAAGGAAGCTGCATTAAGGTTGATAATAACAATAAAAATGGAAAAAATGTTACATTTAGTCTAGATGAAAATAATAATTTCTTTAAAAACATGTATAAGATGGAAAAGTCGGTATCTAGGGATTTGTTAACTTAAATTTAGTATCAGAATCTTCACGTTTTTCTGCACTGCTCTCAGCATACCTATGAAAATATTTGAGTACCATATGTAATAATTTTCCCCATATTATTCTGCTTTATGAGCAACTCTTCATTAAGGTGGTTCAGGATTGCACAACCTATGTTATCCCACCAAACAGTTTTTCAAATAGACCAGATGTGACTTAACTCTCCAGATTGGAAGTTTTATTAAGGCAGGCAGACACAGAATTTGCAATTTAAATAATAAATGTCATAAAAAGCATGTCTACAGCTCAAAAAATAAAATGGCATTGATGACTACTGTAGTAACGACGTTAATGAGTTTTATTTGGAATTGTACATCAATTCTCCCCTCTTCTCACTACTAATGTTATGCTTACATGTAAAAACATAGTAAATGTTACTACAGACCCGATGGATTTTAATAAGCAAAGGTTTCTGAGATAGAAATTAAGGCCCCAGAGACATAAATATGGTCCTTGAAAACATTCTCCTAAGTACACTTACCACAGTATGTGCACTTTAGATGTGCTACTTATAAATGCAACTTTCAGAAGGCGACATTAAAAAAAAAAAAAAAAAGACATTTTCAAAACTGGTGTGGAGTAGGAAAGAACCAGCTCCCATATCCCCTTGGCTAAGGTGCTGAGATCTGCAGACAGACTGCAGTTTGCTGCAGGACCAAGCGTTCCTGAGTAGCCCAGCACTGTTTTCCAGAGACCTGTTTCAACTTTCCTTTGGCCTGGAGCACCCTACCTGGCCGAAACTGAGGCGAGGCTGAGAAGAACACATGGTTAAAGGTTTACAGAGGTAAGATCCCGATTAACAGCCTGGGGTTAGAAAGACAGCACATTTTTGGGGTTATATTTCCCAAGATGCCCAATGGATTCAGGGCGTTCTGCCCCCAGCAAGCACCAGGCAATCCCTGCAGCTTTTCCACCCAATGCAGCAGCGGAGCTCCCCACGGACGGGGCACGGGTGAGCAGGTACAAGGTCGGGAAGGACGGAGCCAAGGGCGCACACACCACCTTGCTCTCTCACAGGAGAACAACACATCCTTTAACCTTCAGACCTGGTCAACAGAAATGGGATTGGGGAAGACCCTGGCAAGAGGTCAAGCTTCTTGAATCCCGTCAGGTTTTCAGTTTAGAAGTTTTGCTTTGCCTACCTGATTGGTTTTGTCCTGATTAAGGAAGTAACAGACGATGCTTCACCACGAACAAGGCAGAAGTTACATTTAAGTTTCAGCACTACTGCTGAACGGTGCATTGACAGTTCTATTACGGGTCCTGTGTAAGGCTAAAATAGGTAAATAACCTCCCTGTGTTTTTATTCAGAATTAATTTTCAATAATGCGGTAAAATCCAAATCAGAAAACACCTATGTAAAATACTGGAAGCACTGCGGAGAGGGTTGCTAATCTCTTAGCCCAGTCTTACCGTGGCTCACGTCGCTATTTAGGGCAATTACATCGGATCCATTACGAGAAAATAGTAGCCATCAATCCCTTTTTTGCACAAGCAGCAAAAGACACTTTGAAGTAACCTTATATTTCTCCTGGTTCCGCAACGCCCTGCATCAGCTAACATCCCATTCTATCACCCCCGTAATACTTATCATCATCTAATCAGATTTTTCTGTACCGCATGCAGCTTGAAATCGTACCAAAAGAATCCACATTACTGCCTCTTCTGTGGAAAATATTTGACTGTTTTGACTCAGTACAGAGGACGGGAATAAAATGGCTGCTTCAATCATACGCCTTCAGTCAAAGTCTGGTATTTGTGTTGCTTTTCCCTGAGACTAAAAAACTGTGAACTATCGCAAGACCCAAGTGATGTACAACAAAAAAAAAACAAATCAGAGCATAGGTGTGATTATCCATTTTCCCCCAGGTACACGAATTCTCCAAACACCACACTCACCCTGAGCAGCAAACAGCGCTCTTTGCATCATCAAGGTCTGACCTTTTATCGGGTGATTTACCAGGTGCACACCCCAGTCGCGCTCCGTGAGGACCCACCAGTGCGGCTGCGTGCGGTGAGTGACAGAAAGGATGTCCAAGGCTCTCTGGAAGCTTCTCAGGAGCACACAGGTGATCGGTAATGAGGCAGGTTTGATGCATTCGTATGAAAACACTTACAGAAGTGATGTTACTTTGCAATTCTGCATGGATTTCCACAAACCACTGGCAATAAAATATCAAGTATTGTAACCACTGCATATTGCTATTAGGTATAGGCAGCAGAAATAAGGGATCACCACTGATGTCTTGGTAGAGAAATCCTCCACTAACCCTCGTATGGTACTTTATTCAGCTGCATATAATGAAAGAGAAGTTAAGCACAGCGCAGACTTCTGCCAAATGAGTTCATCCACGTCTCTCCACATCTGAGTTAACAGACACCCTTCGCATTTTCCTGACAGCTGGTTATCAGCCAAAGGAAATGGAGCTAAGGAAGATGGCAGTGAAAGAGGATGAGAGTCACGCCAAGTAGTCTGGGTCTGGCTCTTGTTCACCCTACCGCTGGCTCGGGCTGGTGGTGTAACACGTTTTGCAGAGTAAGAGGACAGCCACAGGGCAGTGGCACTGCTCAGCTGGGCTGGGCAAACCACTGCCGCTGAAAACAGACGTTTTAATCCCAGTAGGGATCAGCACGGCTGGGGATGCTCTGACAAACAGAACATCCCTTTGACTACTCACACCTTTCTATTTCTTACAAGGCTGGTCTTCCAACCGAGCTGCAGAAAACCAGTCTCCTCCGAGGTACCATTTCCCTTCTCGCTGTCAGAGTGCTCCAGCCGAAGTACTTGGGATTGGTTTAGAAAGTTATTTGGACTTTGGAGCAGATCCCAAGTATTTTGGACACTGGATTCTAGCCAAAGGGCTGATTTTCATCAACCCATGTAATAAATACCTCTTCTCTGTAATCTCGTAACAACTCCAGACAACTCGTGTTATCTCGCCACGAGGAGCACAACTTTCCACATCTAAATCAATTACTCCTTTTTTTCTGTGCGCCAAGACATGCCTTTCAGATTTGTTTTGCAGTCCACTTTCATTACAATATGCTTAAAAATATTCCGTTGCAGAACTGTGTAAAACAACACCAAATTGTTTCCCCAGTCCAGCCCCCCAAACCCCTTCCCCCATGAGAAATTTCCCCTTAATTTTCATACACAAAAACTATGTTTTCAGTTTTTAATGCAACTGTCTCACTTTTTAGCGCGTTGAGCTTTAGGAAGCCTCTTTGCACACTCAGCTGAAAATGTTCAACAATTTTTTAGTCAAGTGGTGAAACAGAAAACTTGGTACAATGTGAAGGAAGCTTAAATTAGATACTAATAGCCTGGATTCAGATCTATCACATATGATATGAATACCAATATAACATTTCCTTTATTAATAAGTGGATGTAAAACCAGTAAATCAAACTCTGACAGTCTAATATTGCAAAAAATGCTCCATAACTTTTTTCTTAAATGACCCTTTAAGCAATCTTAACAATTCCATATATTACAGAGAAAGGCTATTTAGAGGTCCCTGATAAATGAATACCTCTGAGGTGCCCAAACCAAGTGCTTGCTCATGGGACGATGACAGGTTTTGGGTATAAAGTTTTGCAAACAACTAGAATATCCACAAAACATACTGCTTATAAACACAAACACCAAACATCTCATTTCCCAGGCTTTCCTTTCTATCCTTCTGTAGAAAAACCTAAAAAATACGTTCAGAACTGGAAATGCCTCACATCACAGTCTTGGGGTTTTAGAACTACCAGGAATTTTTAGCGTCTTAAAAAGCATTGTTTTCAAACTAGGCAGGGTTAAAATGAGGTTTTATTTAGTTATCGTTTGCTAATTACTAATCTGTTTAAGTCTATCAAAGGCATTAGGATTCTCGTGTGTCATTTAATTAGGTACAAATGTTTCATCACTTTTTGAGAATGTTTTTACATTTTGAAAAGAAGCTTTCTCTTGGCTAATTAGAATTTAATACTTTATGAAGCTCTATTTTTTTATGTGAGTGACTCAACAAACAAATGTACCTTATGTACAAAGGAAACCTTTCTTCCTTCAATCTTATCTTTTTGTATTGAAACCCAGGTCTATAACGCTGCTGCATACATGATATATTCTGACCTCTGACTTGAGCAAGGTACCTTCATCTTACTCACAAATGGAGTTCCATTGAAGCTACCAGAAAATCGTTTTGCACTGAATGACTTAATTGAAATAATGCATTTTAAATTGCCCTGGTGCTGAACCTGTTGCTACCACCCAACTACCTTTGGTAGAACAATGTCTGAGCTTTCAGGACGGCTTCATTGCGTGCTCCAACAAGGCTTAAGTAATCCTAGCTTATGCTAGTGCTGAGGCTGTACATTTTTTTAGGGTTAACCACTCTAGAACATGACACCTAGTTGGATGGATTCCCTCATAAATAGCAAATATCTTCCAAAGCCCA